TTTTACAACTGCAGAGCTTTTCTGGTAGTTAGGCATGCTAGCCTTCCATCAATATCCCATGGTTTCTGTGTCTGTCTCTGTACTGAGATGGTATCAGGCCTGAAAATGCCCACAAAGGTGCTGCTTCGCTAATGCAAGCTCCTTTTTCAAGATCCATCAGTAGATGTTGACAGGCTGAGACGTGCCAGGTTTTTCAGACAAGATGAAACTCTTTCTTTAAAGTTTAGTATTCAAGAAGTAAAAGAGATAAAAATGTTTCCAGTAATTCTGAATTTGTCCAATATTTGAATTAAGGAGATCAGATTCTGCAAAGCACAAAGCAGGAGTGAAACTACAGGTAGAAGTGCCTTTGCTTCTCTTTGATGATCCAAAATCTACTGTAGCTACTAGTATAAATTAGCATAATCAGGGACTATTCTAATACACAGCAGCCTCTGACGTGCTTACTTAATGAATACTTTGAAGTACAAAATAACTAGACCTCCTTCCTTTCTTCAGCTGGTGTGCATGTGGACCTTTTGCTGCTATATGCTGGAAGTTTGGCATGGAAGAAAATTGTGTGGGGCAGACTGGTGTCGGGGCTAGCACTTTCATGGTTTATTTATGTCACAAGCAGTGTTGAAGAATCAAAAGCTGCTCCTTTAATGCCTGTTCTGATAAGAAAATTAGTTAAAGGAATAGAACTGCAAGCATTGCCAAGCTTCCCAGTGAGAACCTCCGCGTTTGGTAAGCCATGCCACCTAGTGCCAGCCCACGTGGATATACCAGCTGGAACAACATAGCAGTATTTTGTGGGACTGCGCCTGAGCTGACAGACCCTGTTTCTTGGCTGCACTTGAGTTACTCTGCCCTACACTTTCGAATCTGACTGAGTGAAAAGTCAGACTGGGGACAGTTGTATCCAGGCAGCAGACATGCCCCAAACCCATGGTTTTGTGATTGTGCTACAGAGCTCTACCCGCACAGATTTCAACAGCATCCCACACATTTCATATTCTGTTCTATCTGGACTGAGATCAGCAATTTAAATTGCAATTCTTGATGCTGTTTAGGTGCAGTTGCTGAACCTTTTCTCAGGGGAGCAGTTTTCTTTCCCTGCACATCGATGGCTGGCCTGGGACCAGGCTGATGGGGAAATATCTATGGAGCTTCCTGTTTTACAGCAGGGGCAACCTATTCTTCCAGGTAAGCACACCACCACATCAGCTAAGTCAGGCCACAGACTGATGCCAATAGAGGTGAGTTCATTGTTTTTCATCAGGCCCTCTATTAATTTTTGGCACACTCAGGTGAAAGGTTAAGAATCACTGAAAAGAAGATGGGAGGGTCTTTAATGCTTTGACTTTCACAGGTCCTTCAAAAAGACTCCTTCTTTGGTAAGATTTTCAGCATTTATATTTGCTTTAAAATAAAGGCAATATAATGACACCTCACATACGCGTAACTACCATGAAGCCGTCACACATGAATCAGATCACAAACTCTATTTTCAATAACTGAGGATTATAACTCCAGTATGACTATTGTAGCTGCTTTTTTAGCGTCTTTCTTGTAAGTGGCTGAGACAGGCTTCCAGAATACTTTTAATTTCTGGATGTGGAACAAAACTTTAACAATATTTCAGAAGGCTATAAGTGTTAAAAGCTTCATTATTCATATAAAGATTGTATTGTAATTCTAAAGGTGAATGATTCCAAACAG